GGCTCTGGGGGCTTTGAGTCCCCCACTGGGACGTTCCCAATCTCCACCATCCTCAGGGACACCTGGACAACAGCTGGCACTGCAGAACCGTGTGACCACACTTACACAGCAAGTCCAGGTACTGTAAGCATAACGTGATCCTCCCTTTATCAGTTTTGAGTTTTCTTCCAGGAACGAACACATAACAATATTCCTCATTTATATAATTCCCGCCCAAAGCACACACGCACACAAAAAAGTGATGAGGCCTGGTTGAGTTGCTTTAAGTATGTTTGAAACTTACAGTTATTGAAAGGGGCGTGATATTTTCAAAATAAGCTTGAAGTGATTGACCAATCACAGCACACTGGTCCAGCCGACCAATCAGCACACACAGTGCTTTCTGGAAGGTGTGGCTTCATAGAGACCGTAACTAAAAACAGCGTTACTGCCAGACTGGGAAGAGAGGTGCTGCAACAATGAAAAATATGTGAAAAAATATTGAACATTCAAGCATGAAAAACTATTCTAAAAGACCCCAAAAAACTAAATCCAGACTTATGAATATAACCAAGTCTTTTCTTTCTTCTTGTGCTCAGGACTGGGAGCGCAAACACAAGGCTGTCGTTTCTATATATCGTTCTCATCTATTAGCTGCTGTACAGGTGAGACTCATAAACCCAACCTTACTTCTATAGGAACATCTGATGTCTTATACTACGCTTATCTGTGCAACTGTTTTTGACCTTAACAGGGTCGGATGGATGAAGAAGTTCAGGCGCTTTTGCTCCAAATCCTCCGTATGACACATAAAGGTCAAAATTAGTTGCTTTTTAACTAATAGCTATACATACCCTTGAGCCGAAGCGTATCAGCACTGTGCACCGTCACAGAGAGGCATTGAAACTATGAATGAGAAGATGTAGTTTTGGAACATGACAGAGATGATTTTATTTCCTGTACCTGATGATTTATGAGGGAGAAGACTGATAATTTTGTACCACGTTTCAATAAACACTGAGAAACGCTGCTCGTCTTTCTTTGCAACTCTGCGGTTGACACTTTCATTGCAGGCCTCTCACAATACTGTCAAATGTTACTTTGTGGTAAAAAGAACATTATGATGATCACGTCTGTTAATACAGGTTTCTTTTCCTTTTCAATCAGAAGATTATTTCAAGTAAAAATGTAGAATTTGATCATTATCTCTTCATTCAAACCAGTATAATTTTTCGTCTGTTTAAAACAAAAGGAGATGCTTTGCAGAATGTCCGAGCTGCTCTTTTCCTTAACTTAAAAAATAAATCGAAAGAAATTAATACTTTTATTTAGCAAGGATGCATTAAAATAATCAAAAGTGAAAGTTAAGACATTTATAATGTTGCAAAAGATTTCTGTTTCAAATAAATGCTGTTCTTTTTAACTTTCTATTCATCGAATTATCCCGGAGAGAATGCATCACAGTTTTTTACAAAAATATTAAGTAGCATAACTTTAAACATTGATAATAAGAAATGTTTCTTGAGCGTCATTTCTGAAGGATCATGTGACACTGAACACTGTTGCAGAGATGCTAAAAATTCAGCTTTGCATCACAGGAATAAATATTTTAAAATATATACAAAATTTCACTATTATTTTTTTACTGTATATTTGATCAAATAAATGCAGCCTTTGTGAGCATGAGACTTCAAAAAATCTTACCTATCACACACTTCTGAACGGTAGTATCTACAGTGTATATACAAAGTATGGATATTTAGACATCTCTTAAAGGTCCAGTGTGTGATTTTTGGCGACATCTAGCGGTTCGGTTGCGAGTTTACACTAAGGGCTCAGCCCACCGCTCACCCCTCCCTTTCAAAGAAGCTACGGTGGCTAAAACGGGACAAACATCGTCGTCTGAGACAGCAGAGAATAGCCAGCGTAAACCAAGTTTCTGTACCACAGTCCATTATAAACCACATCATGGATAAAGTTTCAGGTGAGGATCAAGGGTCTTAATACATAATATAATGATAGTAATCAGCTGATTGTCTCACGAACGTAACCAGCACATTCTCCCCACATAGCAAACCCATAATACAGAGAGGGAGAAGAACCACATGAAAATATGCAACTATATATTTTTCTAACAGGGTAGTAAAAGTTTAGCTGGCTAATATGAGCTGTTACTGTGGCTGAGCTCGTTAAAGCGTAAAGCCTTAAACCTGACGCGTTCGCATCATAGACAGTATAAGAAGTGGACAGAGCCATCTCATTGGAACTCAGTTGAGACAGTTGAAGCCCATTTTTAGCGATTTTTGAGCACTTCCGTTCCTGACGCGCAGACTCAAACCGACTCAAACTAAGCTTGATGACGCGAGCAACCTGTCTGACAGACGTGAATCTTCTAGTAGCTGTGCGTGAAAATTGCCAACGTTAATCTTGCAGAGACGGGGAACTTGAGCAAAGAGTTATTTGGTGTGAGTGAGCAGGAGTAAGTATTCCGTTGCTTTTATGGACTCATTATCTATGGGCTTCTCCCTTGACGGGACGTCCCCCCGATTGCCTGCGAGCTTCTCCTCCTGTCCGTACGGTAATTTCTGTACAGCGCGACAGAGAGTCGAGTGGTTATGACGCAATCGTTAGCCTATTTTTACTAAATCTGTTTCTACGGGGCCATAATGTAACATAGAAGGTAATGGAGCCCTTTATACATTGTCGTGTTTCTTTAGAAATAAATAATGGACAAATGGAGTCTTTAAACGCCTCAGATGTAAAGTTATTCGCTGTCAAAGTGACGCCAAAATGAATGGGAGTCAATGGAAATGCTAACGCAAGTGAAGTTCTGCTACAACATGGCAGCACCCGGCCGGCTTCAACTTCCGGTCGATGGATTACCCCCTTGATTCGCATGAGCCCAAAGGTGCGTGCGGCAAAAATGACGTGATTGTAACAGCGCGCGCGCCTCCGCATCCCTAGACACACTTACTACACACACAATAGGCTTTTTTTTCTCTGATTTTGGAGACTCGATCAACTTAAAATGCTTCCAAGATCGACGGGTTGGTGATTCCTGTAACTGTTTTACGGTCAATGACAAGAGTAGCCAACTAATCAGCTGTCTCACGAACTTAACCAGCACATTTATCCCCGCATAGCAAAGCCATAACACAGCGAGGGAGAAGAATTAAGTTACATGAAACAATCCAACTACATATTTACACCACTGACAAGGGAAAAGTCACTACTCACGGTGTTTATGACTAGCTTCTTCTAGCTTCCTGCGGCTTCTCTTTCAAGGTAGTGACAAAACGCGCTCTGTAGCGCTGTTTGTTCGCGTTCGGCTACTGTAGAAACATGACGTCACAATATGGCGACCTTCATAGAAGGGGATTCCCGCGCCTATGTAGATATAAATGCCTCATTCTAAGGTAATAAAAACATTACGGTTTATTAAGTAAGTTCTTTATACACCACTGAACACATAGTTATGGATGTCATATTACATTTCTGTTAATAAATACTCAAAAATGTTACACACTGCACCTTTAAAGGATGACATTCATTTTTGGGAGTACTGTTCCTTTAAAAATAAACCAAACATTTTTTTTATAATTTCCCCTTCCTGTTCAGTTTTATTGAGAATGGTTTTAGAGGAACACAGCATAGAGAAACAATATCCTGAGAAAGTAAAGTAAGTGGTTTTTGTTGTTGGCAAGGAGGTCTATTACACCTGGAGAAAGCTAGCCGTTAGCATTCCCATTCATTTCAATGTCAGTTGCCCCGCCGGCACGGGATTCCCGTGTGTTTGAAATGTTTGTGATTTAAGCCTATAACGTTATATGTTGCTTACAGCTACTTTTAAATTGCTGTCAGTGGATAAAATGCTTTTCTAACCCAAATGGTGTGGCTAGAGCAGCAGGTGCCAACTGAAATATGCTAGCTCAACCTTAAAGTCGGCTGAAATAGCAGTGTGCTAGCTATTCCGAATTCTGCATCTGACATTCTCTATGCAAGAGCTTTATAACTGAAACTGGGATGCAAAAAGAAATTATAAACCATAAATAAGTGGTAAGATGTTTTTGAAATAAAAAAATAAATACTTTTAAGGCACTGGAATATTTTCAGATAATGTGGGAAGACGTATGGAAGAAAATGTGGTTCTTAATACATACACTGTAGTGAGCCAAACACTTTTTATATAACAAGAATATTTGGACATTTATAAAGGCAGGTTGTCGACTACATTTCTCCAGAAAGCAGCTTTTAGGTTGAAATACGATGGACATTACAAAATATGTATAGGAATGTATGAAAAAAAAGCTTGTGGATGACTTTTGAGTCCAGATTAACAAAAAAAGAATTGACATGAGGTGCATTCAGTAGTTCTTTAGCTAGCGTTAGCATCTCTGTTCTTTGTGTAATTTAAATACCAAAGCCACAATGGTGTGAGATGCTGCACTGCCATCTATCAACGTGGTCAATCAGATGCTCTTCACAAAAGAAACTACTGAATGCATCTTTAAATGAAACCGTGCGCATTGTGGGCATTTGTTGATGTGTCTAAACACAAAAGAGAAATGGAATATGCGTAATTGTGAAGTATAATTCATGTCTGGAACGCTATCATTTAAAAAAGGGCAATATCACATGAGCATGACCCAAACGTTTGGTCCTGAGTTCATAAATTAAACATGTGCATTTGATACGACTGCATTAGAGCGACTGAGCTTTACATAACGTCCTTAACAAATACTGCATCCTGAGAGCAAACTGTTGGTAAGCACAACAACACACTGATGTCCAGAGTTTCAGAGGTGACCATCAGAGAACATTAGAGTCACAGTTACCGAATACATTTAGAAAGGACGACAAACGCTTGTACGGGTGAAAAGGAAGGGAATAAGACGGTTTGTCTCATGTGTTTCTCATAAGTTCACATTTCTGTCAGGCGATGCCAAGAACAGTCTGCTGGGGAAACTCAATGTTCACGAGCACTATTTCCCAACGCCAAACTCTCAGTTGGGGTCTTCTCTGTTGAAGAAGGGGTCGATTTAACAGGGCATGCTGAAAGCTGTTTGCGGTCAGTGCCTAGGGAACAGGGATATCCCACAAGTCCCAGTGGAAGCTCACAGTCTGTGTTTAAGGCAAGTGTGAGGCCTCTAGATTGGCGGCACAGGGGATGGCCTTTAACCCTGAAAAAACAATACAAAATCTGTGAATAACGCAACCAAAACGCTTTGATCGTCTGTAGGAACATGCCGCAAACCTCTCACCATGTATACGGGCTTCAAATGGAGGTCAGTGCTTTCTGCAGACCACCTGCTGGAGGTGTAACTCGCTCTCCGCTGCAACGATTGGCAGCTTGTTTGTCAGGTGGTAGTTGATCAGGTGACTGATGCTCTCAAAAAGCATGTCTTTAGTCCGAACCTAATGGAAACGAACAATGAAAACAAAGTTCATATAAGATGTGGTTTAAAGGCATAGTTCACCCAAAAATGAAAATTAGCCCATGATTTACTCACCCTCAAGTTATCCTAGGTGCATATGACATTCTTCTTTCAGACGAATACAATCGGAGTTATATTAAAACATTTCCTGGCTCTTCCAAGCTTTATAAGGGCAGTGAATGGCATTACTCGCATAAGTTGCCCTTAGACTTAATGTAACTCTGATTGTATTTGTTTGAAAGAAGAAAGTCATATACTCTTAGTATAACTTAAGGGTGAGTAAATCATGGGCTAATTCATTTTTGGGTGAACTATCCCTTTAAGTGATTTCATAATTGGTTTGACTGAGCCTTAAGCGTCACTCACCACTCCTTCTGGATCCACTAGCAGCAGATGTTTGGGAAGCCCACACTGCATCCCAGTCAGGACATATTGGCCTGGGTTAGTGGCGCTGTCCCGCACCAGGAAGTCCCCGTCTCGGCCCAGCAGATTCTCTGCGTCCCTGCGGCTCATGCGTCCGTGGTACCACATCTCCCGCCGGAGCTGGTCCTCTGTGGGTGCGACGGGGGCCCGGCGCCGTGGGGGACTCGGCCACTTGTCCTCCAGTACGCAAACTCCACTGGCTTCATGTAGACGCAGGGCGTCCTCAAACGGCCCTGTGAGGTCAAGAACAGTACAATTTGTAGGATGAAGTGAGTTGTTTGCATTTTTCTTCTTGAGATGAATCAATTTCACTCATTTGCAGTGGACTCACTCATATCAAAAATGTCTTTCTTCGGGCTCTCGGGTCTGCGTCCTCTTTGGGCGTCCATTGAAGCCTCCATGTTGTCCAGATTCTGGGTGTTTACGTACAGGTGTTCCTCATAATCGCGGCTGCCGTGAGGATGACCGTCTGCTCGCAGATAACCATCGGAAGTCAAACCTACAGAAAATAAACTGGTTACTAAATAACATCGCCGTTAGAAGGAAACAAATTGGAATATGGGACCATGTTACTTCCAGCACCTTTAATATGTTAAAAAGCAACAAAACGTCACAAAAGTAACAATACTGATAATTAACCACCAGGCGTCTCACTTGAGCTGCTGTTCTCCGTGTCCCAGTGCACTTCATAACACAAGTGGGCGGCAGGGAGGCTGCAAACATCTCTTTTGGCTGGTGACCCCATCTGAAAGAATAATTTTTATATTCTAGAATTATCTTCTTTTTTTTATTAGAAATTATAATACATTGTATAATGTATATGTGTCCTCTAATAAAACGTCTTATACACTATGTTTCTTCTCAATGTATAAAAAATAGATTTTTTTGTAGTGCAGAAGGTACTTATAGCAAATTATGATGGCTGGTTTGACAGGGCAGGTTAAAGAGGTCAAAGGTTTCGAAAGGTCATGTAAAATAATCATCGAAAATTAAAGAATTGCTAATTTCTTGCAGATGGCATATAGGCTTTCATTCGTTTATTTGCCTGACGCAATTAGCTTTATGCTAATACCACTTACGAAGTGAAAGGCCAATTTTAGTTTATTCTCTCCACAAACCACGAACTTCATGCTGTTCATAACACATATCAAAGCAGGAATTTAACTCCACATCCATTAATAATAAAGTCTATTGTTTTACCTGAGCGGTTTTGCTCTGTGGTTGTGTGTGGACGTGACCCAGTAGGCCCGCTGGAGGCCTGAGCCTAGAGTCCACCACTCCCCCAACGGGAGGCTCCTTCCCTGGGATGCTGTTGTAGTAATCGTGCTCAGACGATTCCTCGTCCTCCCCCCACGCTGACTCTTCTGTTCGTATAGTCCTAAACATTAAATAAAGCTATTTAGCATGTTTGTGCATTAACATATTAGCATTAACATAAAGGTAACTATACATTTCATTCAATCTGAATATATAAATCATAAATATATTTCCATTTAGTACTGAAATGTGCCAATAAAAAAAAGCTTATTTAGTATCTGCTTACAAATTACTATTTTAAGTCAAATTTGTCTGTGATTTATGTTTTTATGCTTGTGATTTATCATTTTTACATTTGCTCTCCTTTCAGAAGTCAGTCAGAAGCAAAGCATGCTGGGAACTAGAAATCTGTCGTAACTCATTCCGTGAATGTGTGTGTGTATATACATGTGTGAACATACATTCACATTTATATGGGAACATGTATGTGCAATATTATATGTACACAATAAAGGATAAAACTTTGTGAATATTACATGTAATGATATTTTTGTCTTCATTTATAAATACTCATTAAATATATATTAAAAATATTCATTAATATATAGCAGTATTGCAGTTTTTTTGAAAAAATAAGCGCACTAGTTTTCCATATATGGAAATGTATTATGTAATATATCGCATTATATTTAGCAGTTCAAGTTGATCACATGAATTCGGAAGTGACTAATGGGCTAATGTAGCTTAGCAACATGCTAACAGCACACAGAGTTGTTTTCTATGTGTGCTGTTAAACATGAGTGACATCAGTTCCATTTCAGTCACAGTAGGATCCTGTCTATATAGGGAAGTAGACTTATATTAAACACAAGAAAGAGCATTTAACAACAATGATTTATAATTGAACAAATTGAAAGAAATGATCCATAACTGATGTGACACTGAGCAGGCTTGTGGTTTCTGAGAGCCCCTTAAATAATTTTAGCTTTAAATAACGGTCTGGTTCAAAACAGGATGGCTATATGAAACACAAGCCGTGTGTATCCTGTTTCAATCTTGTGAAAAATGTTCAGAGCTGAAGTTTAACATTGACTGCAGAAAAACGATAGAGGAACTACTGTCATTGTCATGTTTTGAAGCATCCAAAAGCCCAAAACAAACAAGGCCCATGGTTCAAGGGAAATTATGTGAATCTCACCTATCCATGCTGGGAATGGCTTTGGGTGGGCTGTGTAGATACTGTTTGAACTGCAGTTCGAAGGCCTGGCCGATGGTACTGATCACATTCTGGGCAAGACCTTCAGAGCACTCCAGGATGTGACACGCTAGAGGGATGAGAACAAGGTAACATTATGCACATGTGAGAAATCTAGCCAAAATAATCAGTGACACAAACAAAAGTGAAGGAAAATCAATGGGAAATAGAATTGGGGACACGACGCGAGCTGGGATCAAACCCATTTTTCCCAAACAAGCACCATAGCTCAACATGTGCCAACTGCAGACCATAACTCTAATAACACATATTTTTCTTTTGAGCATAATATGCATACACAATAAAATAATATATATATTTATTTATATATATTAGTAAAAATATAATAAAAATACCTCTTTGATTGACAGGGTCTTTGGCCACATAGGCGACGTAATCGGGTGTATCCTGCAATACACGATGAAATCAGAGTCGGAATCAAGTTACAGTTTTAAATGTAAAGAGAAATGATATGAGCTGTAAGAAGAGGCCTTGAACAGTAAACATGTATTTTAGAGGTCTTACCGAGTCTCCACCAGAGGCGAAAGATATGGACTGCATGGGGTGATGGGCAATCACCTACATAAAGAGATGAAAAAGTGTGATGTCTGCATCAATTCAAATTGTATTAATAAAAAATTATAATAAAATAAATAAATAAACAAACAGTGTTGGGGAAAAGTATGCAAAGCTTAAAGGGGCAATATCTATTTAAATAAATAACTATCAAATGATATTGTAACAGTCACCAGCTGGAGTGCCCTTGAGAGCCACTCCACATCAGACTATTGTCATTCCCTCACAAACTGCATCTCCCATAACTCCCTCCCCGGACTCTTCATCCATTATCACATTCACCTGTGTCTCATTATCTTGTTTAGCTCAACCACTATAAGACTGGTTTTCTCATTCATTATCTGCAAAGTCTTGTTTAGTGTCACACTGCAATTGCGAGCATTCTCATGGTTTTGTTTATCTTGGTTTTTGATCTTCTGTCCGGTTTCCTCTGTTTTTGCCTGTGCCCCTTTGACCCTGTTATTGTTTGGACTGATTACCCGGTGTTTATGACCTTTGCCTGTTTTCGACTACGATTGTGGATTACCCTTTCAATAAAACTGCATTTGGATCCTCAACCTTCGTGTCTCAGAGCAGTTCGTGACAGATATAATATATAATTTAATCAGAGCCCTAAATTTGTTTTTTTTTTACGTTTAGTTGAATTAACTCAATTGGTCAGACTTTAACCAACAAATGTATATAACTAGGAAAAATGGAAAACTTTAAGCACTTTAATTACATTTTTAATTCAATTTAATTTTAATTTAATTTAATCTAATTTAAGCAATTCAGTCAAAACATAGAAAAGAATAGTATTATTTTACTACAGTACTGCACAGGAACTTGAAACAAATCTGAATCTGTTCATTAACATAACTGATTCACTAAACTGAATCAAACTTTCCAAAGTTACACAAGTAAGAAAACACAGTTTTGAAATGTTTGCTTATTATATCTATGCCACTGAAAAATGTAGTTTTGTAGAGTTACTGTAACTCCTCAACACCGTATAGGAATGTTAATGTTGTGATAAATCGGTTGAGGGGTGAGGCTGATATGATTTAAGGGGTTATCCTGTCTAGAGGGTCGACCTGTCGCGTGGTGGGGACGAGTAGACTCAAGCCATCAATGGAGATGTTGACGCCGATGCTCATTCCAGCGAAACGTAGGTTACTCTTCCCCATGATAGACTGGAGGGTTTTGTTGGTGGTCTAAAATGGGCAGCAAAACAAGTTTTTCGATATCACTAAATCTTCTTAGATTTGTGCTTAATAAAAAAAGGGGGCCAAAAATGCAATTTGCTCTTACTTTCTTCTTCCAGGCAGCTTTTCCTCCGGGTACAACTTCACACAGCCTGTTGATGGCCTCCCTGTGTTTACACACACACACACACACAAAGAGAAAGAGCACTATTAGAGAGGTATTACCAGATCTCACATACCCAGAAAACCCACAAAAAACATTTCCCTTCTGTTTCAGTGCAACCGCTGAGTGAAAATAAATAAGGCATGTGTCTGAACCTAAGAATAAAGCTTATTCAAATATTGCAAGTGTATTGTCAGTGTTAAAAAATCAACAGAACAAAGCGAAACAATAAATCATGGAGGGCACAACCTAAAAAATAAAATAATAAAATAAAATAAAACAAATTAATAAAACAAAACACCCGAGTTAAATCAATCAAGGAAATTATTTCAGCTCAACAAAACGGAAACAAACCAAACAATTTTTTTTAAATAAATAAAAACAAAATAAAAAACAAGCAAAACGCAAAAACAAAACACCACAAATTGTAAAATTGTTCTCAAATGAGAAAATACCAAAACTCACAGTAGTGATGGGTGCCTTAATACGACTAATAAAACAAAAAAAGTGTAATTTGTGAAACAATTTCAATAGCTGTGAAGAGTTTGGCAGAGGGGCATCATGGGTTGTGAGGTCAACAGTGGACGGAGTGACTTGGAAACACCAGCATGCTATCAAATAGCCCATTAATAATTTAAAAGTCCCAACTGCCCCAGCAAAGGACATTTCAGGGAATTTTTTTTCAATAAATGTTATAGGATAAGCATTGCAAAGTGTGATTGTGACAATTTCCATTGGTGTGTTTTGTGTTGCAAGATTATAATAATAATGTTTATTATAATTAATAATGTTCACGCCTGTGTGTTTTGCCTCTTTGTTCTTATGGAAATGGCTTCTAGGCCACACTCCATGACAATGACAAATGAGAGAGCCCACCCACACTCCCTCTTTCCCCGGAGCACCGCAAATCAGCTGATTTACAAGCCGTTCGTTTCTGCTGCAAAATAGATTCTGGCTAAATATGCAGCCTGTTCCAAGCATTCCCATTATAACCATTATAATGTCATAACAGACTGCCACTCTCTACTCAAAACAATCACTCTTCTCCAGTCATCCTTGTTTATCAACTCTAACTCCACCCCATGCAATCTGCATCATCTTGGGCCCCAGAGGGCCTCCACAGTCATTAGTTGGAGTCGTTAATAATACATGGCTATATCACTCCGTCTCCATCTCGCCTGTGCTATCTGCACTTTAGTCCACTGTGGGCCATGGGGTTCGGGTTTCTGCTGATCGATGAGCAAGGGCAGGGAGAGGGACTCCACTGTTGCCCTCGGGAATCTGGAGCTCCGCCCCGTCACCCCCTACAAGAATGTACATGCTTGCACACATGTAAATAAATATACACCTAAGACCTAATGCAAGCGCGCACACTTACGTACGTTCAAACATGGTTTGGCACACAAAAAGTGAACCGCTAAGTGATAATATATTGCTTACATGTGAAATATATCACTCAAATGTAAATAATATAATAAAAAAAATATATAATAAAATAAATTTAAAAAACGAGTTAAATCAAGGAACTTGTTTCAGCAAAAAAATAAACAAGCTAAAAACATGGAGGGTAAGGTAAAATATAACACATACTGTATATATATATATATATACGTATATTAGTGCTGTCAAATCGATTAATTGCAATTAAATGAATCGCATCTACACACATAAATTTACAAACTTTATTGCTAGATGCGATTAATCAATTTGACAGCACTAATATACTATATATAGTACACACACACACACACACATATATATATATACACCAAACTAATCTACACTAAACTAAGCATGGAGAGTGAGGTTATGATTTGAAACATGAGAAATTTCCAAAATAAAAAGATGAATAAAATAATACAAAAACTAAACAAAACATGGATGGCGTAATCTCAAATATAGAAATAAAATAACAATAATAATAAAATAAATACAACCTTATTAGTTACATCAATCAAGGAATTTATTTTGGCTCAGCAAAAACAAAACAAAGCAACACATGGAAAGTAACGTATTTTTGATTAAAACAAATGAGAGGGAAAAAAACAAATAAACAAAAAAAACTAATAAATAAACAAAACAAAGAAAATAATACACATAAAAAATAACAATAAACAAAACAAAATCATGGAGGGTGAGGTATTTGTGTACAAAAGTTTGTGCTTAAAAAAAGGTGTAGGTTCAGTAACATCCAAATAAAAAACACTTTACCTGGTGACGTGTGTCCTTGTGCTGAAGTCCAAAGATCTCATCGATTTTAGAACCTCAATGCAGCCCATGTACTGCAAAAAAAAAAAAAAAAAAAAAAATGAGAGCACAAAATGACACACATTACTTTCATTATACTTAATTAGTTTTCATTTCCCAGAGGTCATAATTGCTTCATGGAAATATGTATCTATGATGTAGTCCATGATGTAGATGCTGAAAACCAAAGCAACAATTCTCTCTCTCTCTCTCTCTCTCTCTCTCTCTCTCTCTCTCTCTCTCTCTCTCTCTCTCTCTCTCTCTCTCTCTCTCTCTCTCTCTCTCTCTCTCTCTCTCTCTCTCTCTCTCTCTCTCTCTCTCTCTCTCTCTCTCTCTCCTCTCTCTCCTCTCTCTCTCTCTCTCTCTCTCTCTCTCTCTCTCTCTCTCTCTCTCTCTCTCTCTCTCTCTCTCTCTCTCTCTCTCTCTCTCTCTCTCTCTCTCTCTCACACACACACACACACACACACATACACACACAAGGATGGTTTAACTGCACAATAATGGCAGCAGGGTGCATATGCGTCTTTAGCCTAACGCCGCATAATCACAGATAAATACTAAACGTATAATTTCAGAAAGACAGCTTGTTCTCGGCGGTTCTGAAAAAGACGACATAATAGCCGTGCTGGGGAAGGTAATTACCGCGAAGTGTGAGGAGATTGACGGCAATAACCACATCATGACCGGTGGGGGTGGACTGGATAAGAGGTATTACTGCAGTCTGGCCCTTCTGGGACGTGGAAAGTGCTCTGATGAAGGTGTAGGGGAATATCTATTCGGCAGTTAGTCACTAATGCGTTCAAAAGGGTCACAGGAACATATCACAAGATGCCCACCCCCACACTGACAGTGCGACATATGTCTGAATAAAGGAGTTTGTGGTTACGGATGATTGTAGAAAGTAATCAGATCATTTTTGTTGTCTTAGGCTGGGTAAAGGATTTCGGAGGCATACGCCTACCTCGACCCAAAGCACAGATCATGTGGCCTATGGTTGAGTCAAAGTGGTTTCCCTAGATATGACAGTTAGAAACTTAAGATGGAGTAAATCTCCAGCTTAAAGGGACAGTTCACCCAATCAGGAGAAGTCTGTCATAATTTATTCTGTATGCTGTATGACTTTCTTCTGCAGAACACAAAAGAAGATATTTTGAAAAATGCTGGGAACAAAACAACACTGGAGCCCACTGATGTCCAGTTTATGGATGAAAAAAAAAACACTTTTCTTTGTTCCATAGAACAGAAAAAGTCATGCAGGCTTGGAACAACATGAGGGTGTGTAAATAATGACAGAATTTTCATTTTTTGGGTGAAGTATATCTTTAAGACAATAGTTTTTTGATGTTGTTCTTGAAATCAGCATCCTCTGTGTTTGCTTCTTCAACAAATACTGTACAAGTGTGCATTGGGGAAGTCCCAAAGAACTGATTATGACCTTAAAAAAATGTTCTCTATGAATATAAATCAGTCCCTCTAACATTGCATTCATGTTTTCTGCAATTACTCCTTTTCTCTTAAAGGGAGAGTACACACAAAACTGAAAAATCTCAGATGTACTCACCCTCATGTCGTTCTAAACCTGTGTGACTGTCTTTCTTCTGTGGAACACAAAAATAAGATATTTTGAAGAGCTATTTGCCAATATAATGAAAGTCAGGGGGGTCCAAAACAACATTGAGATGTATTCAAAATGTCTTTGTTTGTAATCCACAAATGAAAGACAGTCAGACTTGGAGGCAGAGAAAATGAGATTTGTCATTTTTGGGTGTACTGTCCCTTTAAGTTTTTTTTTATTTTTATTTTTTATGAGCATGTCTTGACACCGGCTCATTTATATCTAAGCAAGCAATTGCAGACATCTTAACTACATTAGTCAGCAGCGGGAAGTGTTCAATCAGTGTAATGAATCTTCTTCCTTTTCTTTTACAGCATCTCTTTTGCTTCCTCTCTCTCTCTCTCAAAGACCTCATTGTCGGCCAACAAGTGGTGTGATAAATTAATGCACTCCATACAGCAAAATCTGCAATTATATATATAAATATACACATACATGTCTTCATAGTGGCAGAACAAGTGAAAAACATCATTCAGTGATGTCACATGCATTGTAGCTGGTGTGTCAGCAGTGAAGGTAGACATTTTTTGATCTTGTCCTAATTTAATTTCATGGGAACAAATTATAGACTACTGTTTTGATGATAGCAAACTGCAGATTTTGCTGTAAGGAGAGCGTTACTTTAGCACACTCTTTGAGAAAGAAAGGAAGCAAGACATATATATATATACACACGCACACACACTATTATTTATAACAGAGGGGGGTTGCCCAGAAAATGTTTGCACTAGAGAAAATGACCAGTGAGGTTTATACTTCCTATAGTAGTATCTTTCCTATATGAGGGTGAGAGTAATAAATATGTGCACTGCTTTTAAATTTCTATTCCTTGTAATATTTTGTTCTTAGAAATTTTGTCATCTAGGAATAACACAAACTAGTCTAAGTTTAAAACAACTTCCTATTCACCCACGGAAATGCAGATTATAATAAAAAGAATGACATGCTTTTGCGTAGCTTTAGTTTTAGCATAGTCTTAGCCAAACTAAAATCCCTTTATTTATGGTATACCAACATGCCATAGTGTTATTTGGCTAACTGCCCCCCTCCATGCCTGTTTCCTCTGCTACACATGTGATACAAATGACTGTGATTAAACGTAAGTGAATAAACGAATGAATGGTGCCTGTGTAATGCAATTAAGGAGCGTGCGCAGGCCCAGTCTGGGTTGTTGGAGAGAGGGCCGTGTGGTTGCAACACACGGTGTGGGGTGGATGAGTGCAGAGGCGGAGGGGTGAGAAACTGGGTTGAGAGAGGATCACTGTCATTGACGTCAAATAGTCTGCCAACATTTATAACCCTTGATTGACCAAGATGCAGCCCAGAGCTGAAGATATTGACTTATATCCACAGCATCTACCCAACTGTTATTGGTTAGCATACACTGCTTCGCCGACTATGTTTTATCTAACAGGATTTGTCTACTTTAACATTACAAACTAAGTAAACAATAAATCAAATACGTTTTCAATGTTTATTGAACATGAGCTTAAAGAACTCAAATTTGCTAATGCTATGCTAATTGTAATCGCAATTTCATTACTATTCCTAAGAGAAAACGCATGCATATAAACCCGTATTGATCCCAAAATGGAAATTTGGGAATTGCTCAAATGTCCATCCTGGGATCAAATATAAATTTTGAACTCATCTTGAGCCATAAACAATAAGCCACCCTCCACCTCCCTTCAGTTCTAGTTTAGTTGTTTACATCTGCAGTTTGTTTATCCATGCCTGCCCCCTGCTCTGACGCAGTACCACACAAAGCAATATATCTGGATTAAATTATATATTCCTCCTTAGGCAATTGCACCCTGACATAACCAATACACCGCAGTGAACAGAACCCCATTGTTCTCATATCATAAGCAGTTTTGCCTGAACTCAGCTTTTGAAAGGACAAGATGTTGCAGTTGTTTGTAAGCTGCAAGGGGAGTCAAATCTCTCTCCGCGTCTTCAGAGCTGCATCAGATGGTGCAATGAATGTAAATGAATGATTATCGATAACACCACAAAGCAGCATATATAGACAACGCTGCAGACCTGCAAAATAACATTAGGCGGAAAGCATATTGAGATTTCAAGATGATAAGCAGGGGACTCACCCTGACAATGTACGAAGCTCCTGTACTGCTGATCTTTTTGTCTGGGTGCAACCACCCCTGCGAGGGCTTATTGATGAAGCTGCCCTTCTGGGTAAAGTTATCTCCCAGCCATATTCCCTCCACCCTGTTCCTCCGGTTCATCCCGGTCCTGAAGCTCCCAGATCCACCTGGACTCCCCTCGGCGGCCCCTGCACTGGACTCTCTTGGACTTGCCCTCTGCCTCCTGGCGGCCTGTAGGGAACAGGGACCCACACAAACAGGGTCACAGGAGTTGAACACAGCTGCAAGACTTGCAACAGGACCACTGGGGGCGGTCGCCCCTCCGAAGGCCGTAGCAGGGGAACTATCGGTTGGAGGCGCCCTGCTGGATTCCTTGCTGGAATTGGAGCCGGAGCTGCTATTGGACGGGCTACGGCTGAGCAACGAGTTGGAAAACTTCCATTGGGGCATCTTGGGAATGAGCATGCAGAAGGTGGTGGTCCCGTCCTGCTCGGCGTCCAGCCCGGGTGAGTCGGCCAGCACCTGGGCCGAAGGCGGAGGAAGGGCAGCGGTCTCCAGGGGCGGCAGCTCCAAGCCAGGCGCGGACGAGGAGGCCACCGACGTGGCCACCATCTTCCCGCTCATGGCTAGGCTCTGCATCAGGTCGTCGGAGGAGGTCACAGAGTCGTTCCGGAAGCGGCCATACTTGGGCTTAAGTAGCATGCCCGGAGGAGCGGTCCAGAGCGGAGAGGACAGTGGGGGGAAGAGGGAGGGGAAGGGGGGATGGCAAGGGAAAGGGGAAAGGAAAGATGCAATGGAAGAAAAGGAGAAATCCACAAGGTTCTGTGCGGACTGAGTCTAGCCCTGCGTCCTCTCTCTCTCTCTCTCTCTCTGCTTTCTGACAGTTTCTCTGTCCCTTACTGTGGCTTGCTTAATCCCTCCCTCTCTTCTTCATTCCCTCTCTCTCTCTCTCTCTCAGCCCAGCTTGCCCCCACTCTCTTGATGATGTCATAGTGTTATGGTCTGTCTATTAGCCCTGCCCAACCCAGACAACATTAGCTAATACACATCTGCCTGAGCACCTCCTTACAGCATCTTGCACTTATCCTACACTGACACGTACAAAGCCATTCAGTCCTGCAGGATTAGCTAAAGGTGATGTGTGTCGTTTTGAATGCTACAATACTTTCCCCTATCCCTCTGAAAGATGTAAATACTGTGGCGCTATCAAAACATCACTTTTTTTGAGCATCCCGACAACTAGCCCAACTCGACAACACTGACGTGAGTTCAGCCGAGAAATAACAGTTGTTTTTTCCAGTTTTGTTTGGGGATGCTAGTAGTGCATAAATTACTGACTTCACTGTTCATTTCATGGGAACAAGGTTAGCATAGGACAGTTAGCCCCTGCTGGAGAATATTGCAACTACACCATTTGGCAGCAAAAACTTTTTTCACCATGTCTAGTTATTGATAATAATTTGTTATATTATAGTAGATGTTTTGCCAGTACCTAATTTTCACCTACAAATGAAAATATCTCCGTGTTAGTTTTTTTTTCAAGGAAAGTCAGTGGGGTCCAATGTTGTTTGGGCCCCAACACTTTTCAAAAAATCTTATTTTGTGTTCCAGAGAAGAAACATAAGGGTTAGTAAATGAAGATGAAAAATAATAATCTTTTTCAGTTGAACTACCTCTTAAAAAACACGAAATGGACTTATATTTTTACTCATCTGCTGCCTTTTACAGTATGTCACAGATCAGGATAGTCACTAGTAAAAGGCTTGGGACTTTACCAGTTAAGCAATTACCATTGAGATGAACTGGAATGATAGTGGTAGCTTTCTCTAAGATTTATAGACGCCCATGATTAATGCAAATTAGAGCAAACAATTAGAGCAAAACACCAAGGCCAACAGTATAATATCTAAGTAGCTTGTTACACAGAGTGCACACATACGAGTACTCAAGACATCAAGGCATCTTTTACACCAGTTAATATAGAATAAAACAGCATACCTCACAACAGCATTACTTGCTTCTCCATCCAAACTGTGTTCTTCATATTGCTGCAGTATGGATAATATAACGATTGTTGAGACTTTCTCTGCTCTTCTCTTGCTGTCGAAGTCAAGAAAACATCTGAGTTGTCACATTTACAGGACTTGCGCAAGACGTGGTGCCTGTTTGACAAATAGTCTCTTCCCTCTGCACTGACGTCACTTTTTTCGCAACTGCCCAAAAAGTAAACGCAAAGACTCCACGAGGCCAAATAAACAGGAAGCACTTAAAATACTCTATGTTCCGTTAACGTTGCCTATGTGTGCAGACTATTTTGGTGGAAACCTAAGTTTTGTGGTGTTGACAAAGCCTCATGCTTGCTTCATGACTCACAAATGGCTTTTTTTAATTTTCCAAAATCAACAGCTCTTGGGTAACCTCTCCAAGGTGTTGCGCAGAGATTTTGTTGTTTTTCCATTTGTCACATGCATTGCACGCCTAGCTGGGGTAATTTTGGCTTCAAGAATGGGGTCACCGGGACCATTTGCAATTAGTGAGAGTGCATGTGCAAGGGTCACAGTCTGGATCAATATCTTTGCTAAAAGCAAAACCACAAAAGAGTGCAGAAAAGCGGGAAAATTAGAAAACAAGACTACATCACTCATTCAATGTCCCCTTCTCCTCAGGGAGCCATGAATGCTCAGTTCTGGAGGAATCGGACCCATCCTTCATATTTACCCTCATGTCACCATTCCCTTAATTAAGGAAATTATCGTGAATTGTCACACTAAAATCAACAATGCACCGAGGGCTACTGTGTGATCTCAGACTGCAAGATGCATTTTTTTTTTTAAATAAGTGGGATCATAAAAATAATTTTGACATAACGGACATTTACATAAACCAGAGAAAATAAAATTTAATTTATACATAATATCATCCTGTTGAAAAGTTTACATGCCCTCGGTTTTTAATATTGTGCGTTGCCGCCTCAACCATTCAGAGTTGAAATCAACAAATTATTTTATATACTTTTTTACTATTTCTTTTTTAATTAGATTTTTTTTTTAAATGTTTTATATAAATGCCTTTCTGAGTGATTTTTTTTTTTTTTTTTTTTTTGTAAATGCATGTAAAAAGTGGGATTTGTAAACTTGTGAGAGCAACTGTACATTAATATGGTACTAAACACATTTTATTATATGTTAGGCCACTCAATTTTTATATAACACAAAACAAGGGATTTCCACTTATTCTCTCTGGTCCAGAAAAGCCCAGCACTAGAACATGTTTGACCGCTGTACTTACAAACAAGGTCATTTTACCCAAATGTTGAGACAAAGATAATCATTGATTACAGCAGTTTTCACTAGATGTGACGACATTAATCATGAATGTAGTGGAAAAAACGCATATTTACTACATTATTTTGTGCCAACGTGGAAAATCAAGTACTACTTTTAAATCTGATAAAAATATTCCAACTGAGTAAAAGTCACATGTACATAAATAGATCAATGCCAGACAGCAGGTGACATGCACTGCGAGTTCATTAACCTTATCTGCTCAAACACATTATCATGACATTAAACATCAAATTGTGGTCAACGTGGGTGAATGTGCCATTTTAATATTTACATTCTTAAGAAAATACCACCAAATAAAAATACATCCTCCACATGGCAGGCATTTACCACATCCTCTTAAAGCATTTGTAGCAATATATCACAAAATGCTATTACTAAATATATTCATGTAGAGAAAGATTAAATATATACATGAAAGACGATCATCACTCACCAAATCTAGTGCTGCTGTAGGTTGCAACGCACACAAGCACCAAAAACACATGCAAACTTATGTGTTTGAATGTAGAGGAAGGGTAACGGCACATAAGAGTCAACAGATGTGAAGTTTGAGCCCGAAGGGTGAGAGAAACCACTCAAACCAACACAGACTAGAACCATGTGTCCTTGTTCAGGAACCCACAGCATCACAAAAACACACCTCCTGCAATGACATGCCCAATCATGTTACTGATGTATTATGCATTTTAACACAAGAGTCTTGTAATTTGTTAAAATGCTTAAACAACTTAACTTACTAATGGTAGATGCTGCTAAGAGTTGTCGAAAGGTGGCACCTCAGTGTGTCTGAGTAAGTATCTATAAAAACCATATTTAAATTCTAACAAGCAGACTTTGCTAAATATTGTATCGGTAATATATGCACAAAAGCATTCCTCATTCGAATTCATAGCTTGAACAAAAGTTACTACGCGTTACTTGTAAAACGGAAACCGTGTAATTCATTAACAAAAGAGTCACTGAGGTTAACCTTTAGTTAAAAGTTCTAGCAAGCTTGAGTCGTTTTCTAAAACAACAATAGAGTACAGCATAAAAAGGAATACAATTGAAAAAAAAGTGTGTTCTGCACAACATGGCATTAAAAATACACTATGTATATTACTGCACCACACAAAGAGCAAATCATTTGTCATTTAAACTGATGACTAACGCATTGAGGAGTGAAAGACAAACAATAAAGAGACTTTCTGATGCCTTCTTCGCTTGGCTGTATACTTCATTGTGTACTGAAACGATATGCGCTTGTTAAAAAGGTCACAGGAACACTGTGGTCAAAACAGCAGCCCTGACATTAAACGTTAAAGCATCTGAAAAAACAGAGACGACAACAAACTAAAGAAGAAAAAATGGGGCAAACCTCGGCCACCTCAAACAACTCAATCTAAAATGTGTCCTTTTTTATATTTTCAAATGTTCAAAAAGAGAACCATTATCTAAGAACAAAGCTTGATACATTATTAAGAAATTCTTTGATTCTGTGAATTAACTACTTGTTGGAAAAATGCGATGCTTGTATTTTTGTTAAAGCACGCACTTCTTTTATACAGAAGTTGCTTAAATTTACATTTTACATTTACATTTAGTCATTTAGCAGACGCTTTTATCCAAAGCGACTTACAACTGAGGACTAAACCAAGCGAGTCATCGTGAAGAGGCAAAAGCAACGCTAGAAGTGCTCAAAATACAAAGTTCAGACATAGCTTGGAGTAGCATAAGCCAGGCAAGCGAGGAAATGATACTTTTAAGCTTTTCTAGGTGGATGAACTTTTAGTTATGTGTTACCAATGTAATTCCTGTGGGCGTTTTGCTCTTTGTAAACTGTATTTTGTGGATAGTTAAGTCACATCATATCTTTCAAGCATCGTTCCACATCGTATCAGAGCTTTAAATGGTCATGACAAGAGTTAGTTACACCAAGTTATCACACTTGTCTGATTTTAACAGATATAGGCCAGCATGGTTTCACAGTGGTTTCACTTAGATTAGGCCTTAGTTAAATTTGGACATTTAAGTAGCTTGCAGTTGCAATTTGCAACATTACTGGTGCATCTTGAGACAAAACCATAGACTGTAAAAAATAGGACAAAACAATGGCTCTGATATATTTTAAGAAATGTCAGTGCAAGTTAAAACAGCTCAAACAGTATTGTGGCTGTACTCAAAACAGTGTGTATTGTAGTTTATTCCTCCATTGACCTCCATTGTAAACATAAGATTTTTTGAGGGACGGGCGAAATTACTTTCTATAGAAAATCTGTAGAAAATTGTATTGAAATGTAAATTTAAAATACATTGGTTTACAATATATTTGAAAAATGTTGTGTAATAATTGATGTGTAAATCTAAAACACACGGGATAATGGTGAACTAAGGAGGAGACTATCATTTGCCATCTTTTGATCATCTGACAGGAAAAAAATTAAAATGCTGTCAAAGACTTTTGGGCGTAAAGAGAAGGTTAACACGCATTACCACTGTCAAATCATATCATATAAGGTCATCAAAGTAAATTACTGTGTAGTCTACATAAACAGCATACATGCCATCATTGGGTTTCACACTTCTGTATCACACTTCTACTTACTTTCACACGCCTGAAACGACTAACGAGTAAAAAAAAAAAAAAAAGTCCTACAAAACATTGTCCTGTATAGAAGATCTCAAGAGATGCTTTCAGACATAACACAAGAAGAATACATATGGCACTGACTAAATAAATCATTTTGAGTGTTTTGCACACTTTACCAGACCAACACGTCTTCTTCACGCGTGCACACCTGTCAATCAAACGCAGGCGCGCGCGAAGGGGGCGGAGCCTAAACGGCGAGTGACTCCCTCAACCTATCAGAGGCGCGCGAGGGACCGTTTGAGTTCAAACCCGAAGCGGCGCCCTTTACAGGAAAACATTGACACTCTGTGACGACCGTCCGCGAGTTTTTCCGGCATTTCACATTGGATTTTGCCTGAAATTAACATTTACCCAAAATGTCTTCAACGAAAAAGCAGATTTACTATTCCGACAAGTATTCCGACGAGGAATACGAGTACAGGTGAGGAATTTCACTCGTTTTTTCACTTAATTGTTTACTTCAGTTTCGAGGTGACGTGATACTTCATGATGGCTGTTATGTCATTTGGCTGTTTCATATTAAAAACATCCGCAAATGATTGAAAACTGTTTGTTTAAAACGTTTTTTCCGGGTTTTGTCGTCATTGCTGAGTTATATTGCGTGAAAAACTTTTTAAAAAGCTGTTTAGTCATACTCAAAATATGTCAGTCAAAATAACATACTACTGTCCCTCTCCTTCCACATAGACATGTTATGCTTCCCAAGCAGCTTTCCAAGCTGGTGCCGTCCTCCCACTTAATGTCAGAGGAGGAATGGAGAGGACTGGGAGTCCAGCAAAGTCAGGGCTGGATCCATTACATGATCCATAAACCAGGTTAGTACTTACCTGTGGACCAGGACTGTGTTTTAAAACCTACTTTGACAGCTTAATTACTGTCTAGGTTGGCAGCTCTCATATTTTGAGACACATTTTAGGTGTGGTGGGTGAAATTGAGCCAACTATCAGCAAACGCTGCCCATTATTCTCCAAAACCATGATTCCACTCTTTTTATACAGAGCCTCACATTCTGCTATTCCGAAGACCGCTTCCCAAGGAATGAAATTTCAAGATTATCATCGGAAGATAAACTACATGGTTGGATCTGACCATAAGTGCATTTCTTTCCAGAAGTTGTGATTTGTATATAAGTTTTATTATTTGCAGATCAGTGGTAATGAAATGTTACTCCTCCTCCCCCTTTCATTCGGAGAACCGATGGCAGCAGGAGCCCGGGGGGAATTGGCTGCCTCCTCCAAAGTGTTTTCTTTAGATCTACACTGAAGTCATGTAAAATAAGTTGGATGGTGTTTCAGGTCAAGTAATCGCCCCAGTCGTGAATAGAAGGAATAGTTTTTGTTGTACACTACAATGCTTTTCGTTGCTGAACTGCTTTTGTTAACATCTCCACCTTGTATTTTGAGCAGTCAACATTTGTTTGTTCTTCAATTGTTGTTGACAAATCAATAAATATTATTTTTATTAGCTCACTCGCATCCTCATTTGTAATCAGTGTTACGTGACATTAAATAATGACATAACAATCAATATTTGTTCATGTAAAGCGACAGCGGATACTATAGAAAATGTTTTTTTCACACTATACAAAAAATCTAGCTGATAATATATACACAAAATCAAATATTTAAAAAAAATCTTTTAATATATATCCAAGAATGAAAAATATCAGCAATTTTATTTAGTGTGTGGAAAAGTAACCAGGAACATTCTTGGAAATTCATTGGTCAAATGGTGTGAGAATGCTGAATATTTCCAACATCAGAGATCACTGTATGAAAAATATCAAACATTTTTAAGAATGCGATGAAATTTGGATGAAAAGTCAGGAAAAGTAGTATTTACATATACAGCCTTCAAATTAGACCATTTTTGAAGTAGACGGCACAGTTGCATCACTACAGTTGCGCACATGTTGTGGTAGCAGAAAAACTGGTTACAAGGAAGAAAATGGACAAGATCCATGCAAAAAGAGGAAAAATGCATGAATTCGGAATGCCAAAAAAAGATGTTCTTAATTTTTGAAGCTGTTTATAGTTGCAAGCCATTAAACGGGACAGACTGAACTGATGAAACCTGTGATGATTAGCCTACTATCAAAGCATGAATTTGATGTTTTCTTCTCAGAATTGCGATATAAACTCGGAATTGCAAGAAAAAGTCAGAATTGTGAGATATAAACTCGCAATTACCTTTTTAATATTTTTATTCCGTGGCTTGCTTCCACAGTTCCTACAGCTTCCTGTTCTGCAAAACAGGGATAGCTGCTGGTCAGAGTAATGGGCGTACCGAAAGGTGAATTGCGACAACAGAAACTTAACCCTAACCCACCCGAAACCCTGACAGACAGCTTTCGCAACAATTAGAAATACCTTTCTCCACGCCCATTACTCCAACCAGCAGAGACCCCACACTTGCTTTCTGCCACCAGGTAGGCTCCGCCCACAAAACACCAAAATGGTCTATACTACTAATCTACCACTAAAGGGGTCACAAACTCTGAGTGCCTGACCCCTAATGAGAAAGCAGGAGGTCTGGGCTTGTGCACTGTCACTTTCTCTGGGTTATGACTTCCAGGACCTGGTACAAGTGTGGACTCCCTCGCAGCAGCGTGTCTGCCCAACATAGAGAACGCAGGCTGCCTCGGGAGGTAGACACTGGGATCTGTGCGGTTATATCTACCAGGACCTGGAGTCTTGGATAAGTCCTCGGCCGGACCTCCAGATGTGCATCTCCCAGAGATGGTGTAACTGGCACTGGATGTTTTGGTCAGGATGTGGGAGCCCATGAGAGAAGGGAGGGTGTATTTGTTGGGGGCGGGCACGGTGTCCACGGTGCGATACTGAGTGCGGCAGCCCATGGTGTGGGACGGTGGTTTGCGATGGGTGCTGCACAGAGGGGCTTTCTCAGGGCTGTATGCTCCTGGTCCAGGGGTGGAGAAGGTTCCTCCTGCAATTGTCAGATACAACAAGGGTAACTGTCAAACTCAGTCCATTCCAGCTAAGTGTTTCCTGGTGGTTTCGACATGAAGTGGATCAGTCGACCAGTATATCACTAACCGTTTCAACAAATGACACATTGAATAACCGACTTACCTCGATTTTCCATCCTGCCATGTATGGAATAGGCGGGAGTGCCGTCCCTTCCAAAGCGAGTCAGTTTGGCATCAATATGATATTTAGGCCCTGGACTACAGTCAATGCTATGCACTGTACGATCAAAGCAGAATAAACAGCATTACATCACTTAGGAAAGAAAATGTCACACTTTACATCACAGTATTCGTGTAGCTGAATATGAAAGTAAACTGTAATACACATCCCAGCTGGCATTCGGCTGACATTAAACGTTTAAATGTGGTTGAAATAATGTCAGTTTATGAAAAAACATTAATTCAACATTAAAACAACGTTGAACACCAAATAGTTGAAGTTGTGTTGTTGACTCACTACGGATTCAACATAGAAATATAAAAAAAAATTGAGTTGTTCGTCAAATCAACATTATTTTTACAACCATGACTTTTAAACATTTTGTTGAAATATATCAGTAGAAAAAATAACGTTGTTCCAAAATCCAATTTGCAATATGATTTGCAAAATCTAAACAAAATTCAACGGTTATCCAACACTGGCACCTGACGTTGATTCAACCGTGACTCGACGTTAAAATGCCAGCTGGGATGTTTTTATGGTATATGCAATTATTTAGTTAAATATGCTACATGTAGGTTACAAGACCCTTTTAATTTTATCACATGCAATAAAATGTTGCAGAATTTTATAGCTAATGCCTAAAAATATTAAATCTAGAATGTCACAAAATATCACAGATCCAAGATGTACAACATACTGTAATATACTGTAATGCAAAAATAATTTTAAAAAGTTAAGAGGTGCCCAAAGTGAATAAGAAAAAAACATACAAAGTGGTGCACCATCTGAGGTATGTATTTAAATTTGTAATATTTCAATTCTTAAAGTATATGCAATACGGGGTAAAATGCCTTTCACTAACTTCCTTTATGACATGATTTTAAATTAAAACAAGCATAATTTACTATATGCGTGTGTGTGTTTGCTTACTGATCACTATAAAATAAAAGGATAAATAATAATATTTTGAATATAATCTGGAGCAAGAAAAAGCTGCCTTGAGGCAAAATGTAGCAGCATCATACCCTATTCTTTAAAATAATAATGTGAAATAAAATTATATAATATGAATAAAATAAATTAGGTCGGTGCTAATGATAAGCAATGGAAATGTCCAGCAGCTGTCTCCCTCTTGTGGTGACATTAGCAAAATACAGGATTTTGAACTAAATGATTTAAAGGGATAGTTCAGTCACACATTCATTACTCACCCTCATGTCGTTCCAAACCCGTAATTCTATCGTTCATCTTCGGAGCACAAATGAAGATATTTTTGATGAAATATGAGAGCTTTCTCTCCCTCCATAGACAACTACGCAACTACCACTTTGATGCTTCTAAAAATTCACAAATAGATCATAAAAATAATCCATATGAATCGAGTGGTTTAGTCTAAATTTTCTTAAGAGACACAATCGCTTTATATGATGAACAGATTTTCATTTTTGGGTGAACTATCCCTTTAAATGAAAATGTTAACATGGATGATTTGCAAATGTTCCTCGTTGTAAAAATCAGCTAAAAGGATTTTTATAGAAAAATACTGTAGAGTTCCATTTATATTTGCATTATTCTCCGTTGAACTAATTTATTTCACTGCAAATTATTTCACCGGCTAAGTCATTACAAACTCACTGTTGTTACTCATCCTGCCATGGAAAGAGAAGGCAGGACTCGTTGACTTGGTAAAATCGTGGCCTACAAAGCCGATAGCCGGTGGAAGGATGTATCGACCAGGCCCTGGCCCTGTAGACAAGATTGGAAAACACATGTCATGTGTGCACAACATATGCACAGCCCTACTTGTGCAAGTAATCAGAAATATTTAGTGATGCATTTTTTGGCAGGCAGTTGTGACAGAATCTGTTAGGGAGATTCACACCCTTTAGATGCAGCCCAGCAGGAATGTGAGCTCATCGCAGTGGCGTGATGGTTTTTCCTGGAGTGGAAGACAGACAATGCCTTTGGCTATATCTTCTCTGATACTACCAGGGGAATGCCATGACATCAGCCCACAAATGTTTGTGTGCATGAGAAGGGCTACTGGAAGCACAGCACATTCTTTCACATTTACTTCAGCATGTTTTTTCAGGCCTGGGCACAGTTATCTTAACCTCCCTGAAAGTGTGAAACAGTAACTCCTCTCCATTTAAATGAGAATTTGATGGGGACATAATAACATTGGAAGCATAATATTTGTTACAAAATACATCACTATGTTTGCTATAGTAACATTTTTTTTTAAAGAAAGAAAAAAGGTCAATATCAATTAGCAGCTCAATTTTCCCTAAGCAGCTTTACAAACTACACAACAGTGAGAAGAACCCTTAGGTCAACCAAAATTATTGCGTTTAAAGCTATTGTGATGTTTTTATTCACTTTTTAAAAACATATTTAAACAATACAACAAAAACAAGAGTTACTTTATTTTCAATAAACAATAAGTTAATATTGAGTACTGTAGCCTAATGTATTTGGACGCAATATGCTGCCAATTTGTCTATTTTTGCTCCGCCAATGAAAATAGTTCCAAGTTCACGGGTCTCCTAGCAGCAGCACACCTTTATGAATGAACCAGTTTGTTTAACGAATCGGTTGACTAAATGATTTAATGATTCACTCATAAAGAGTGACACCTAGTGGCATTAACGATGTAGTTTGCAGAAAGAACCGCTGCAAAATCCCTTATTCAGAGCAGCGCCACGACCAATGAAAGTGAGGGATAGATTATAGGATTTTTAAGATTATATAATTATAGGGTTTTCAATGGCATACGCTGTAAAAACCTGTATAAAGCTCCTAAATCACTTGTAATTTTTCACATCATGGAGTTTTTTTGCCTAAATGTCTTGGAAAGATGTTTTTAAAGTGTTTCGTAAGCAGAACAATAAATATATATATATATATATATAACAAGAAATAAAACATTACATAATAGAATAACCCACTGAAGAGATGTAGCCCTAGCCTATGTCTTTCCCTCACAGCCTCGCTTTTATTCCCGTTAAAAATCACAGATGACGCTGCTGTGAAGTCCCAGTGCTGGAACGTCGGTTCACCAATTTTATTGGACAAGAGGCAGCATTCATGCTAATATTTCCTACAAACACATTTTTTTCACATTGAAGGTACGATTGTTGCATAGCACTTAGTATTTACAAATATTCATAACAGCTCACCTTTTTCTCTACCAGCAATGACCGGACGCTTCCTCTCCGTTTCACTCATAGTCACGATCGCATTTGGGACTGTTTAACCATTTACTTCAAGAAATATATTGTCTGCTAGCTGCAGAATTGGACAGAGACCTACTTACTATCAAATCTCTATGCCAACTTTTCCATAAAATGTAAGCTAACAGAGCTCAAGGAGGAATTAACATTCACGTCAGTATCAGTTGTTCCGAGCTGCAAAAACCCAAAAGTAACTTAGGTGAAGATCTTCACAATATCGTCAAAGCTGAGGTGATGGTAGTAGCCGAGGACCTCTTCATTTTCATCTTCCTAGCTTCACTAAATCAGTTGGAAATTCTGCTTTCTGACCTCTCTTGAATTGGACAAGTTCAGTCAAGTTCTCAACCGTCCACCAAAGCCAAAACCGAAGCCACCCAAGTGGAAAACTGATGCTTTGGAGTAATCTTCATTCAACCTGACTGACTCAATCAGGGGCTGCCAAACCCATTAAATATACAAATGCGTTTGAGAGACAGAAGCACAAAGGTGTCATCACTTGAATTCATTGACATGTAACACTATCTCCAGTTATCCCTCCCCTCACTTACCGTTTCTCTTTCATGCTTTTCTCTGTTCATCAGAGCAGAGACAAACCATCATCAAGCTTGGGTCGCCAGGGAGACCAGCCGCTGGGGGCCCCCCTGCAAAGCTGCATAGACAGGGCCCTCAGCAACTGAGAAGCTAGGAACATCTGAAGAAACATCTAAAAGAGTATGTACCACCATTTTCCTATCCAACTGAAATGCGTTGTATACAATTCTGGGAATGCTTTTAAAAATCACAAGAAGTTGGAGGGAAGTTAGGTGAACATGTCCACCGACCAGCAAACAAACATTAAACATTAACAGTGCCGTCTGATGCTGTGGTAACTGGAGATGGATGCCAACATAGACAAACTCTCACAAGCTGACCCAGCAGACGCAGAAACACATCGGGTCGATGTGTTGCCGGGACCTTTAAACAAGTTTCAGAGAGCTTTGAAGAAGCTGAAGCGGTTAACCAGGGGTTTTGTTTTGTGGGGATTAAAAGATACTCTAGTTTAAACAAGCAAATGCTTAGTGTATGTGTACAGTTGAAGTAAACTTCGGGCTTTACACATACAAGAACCATTACACACACACACAAAAAATCCTGTAATAACAGATTGTGAGCAATGTTAGCCTATTTTGAAAATCCACACAAAATAGTCAAGCTGAGATATTATTTTCAACATACTATGATTTGGTATTCACTAATCCTAATTTTGCATATTATATAGAACGGGCAGTATACAAATTGGAATTCACGCATAGCAAAAGAAAGCTTTCACACAATACAGATTGCATATAAAGTTTATTCTCGTTGACTTTTTGTTGTATGTGTTGTATTTGATATCATTGAAGGTTAAATTCATCTTAGGTCCATTAAAATGTACAATGATTTTCAAAATTCACATAGGCCACTTTGCGAATGCATTTTCTGCATAGATAGAGAAGTAAAGTATGTTAAACAGGCCTTTGAGAGTAATACATTCTTATTGACACCTGAATGCATAATCAAATTTACCAATATATTTAATTAACTTAATGATCACAGAGGCATTTTGTTTGAAGTTATGCGGGTGCATATTTTGCATGGGCCTACCGATTTTGATTTAGTATTGCAGTTTAGACAAAATAGCTTATATTCTGTACAAATCATATTCCAGTTTATGTATCAGAGTTGATTTTCTCTGATTCAAAGACTAATTTAGCATAGGGTAGACTGGGAAAGAAGCTTATTTATCAGCTGCAGTCTCCTCTTAGGGGAATAAACCAGACATCAAAAAGTAAAAATAGTAGCTACACACCTTAACACACAATTTCGTAAGAAAGTCCTGCTCTGGAAGTGCACTTTCAATCATAGCACATTTTAACGGGGTGTAAAACCACACAAGTAGATTGTGTTCAGAAAGAAGGGAGGATCTGACCATGGAAGTGAGAAAATAAAAAAAATGAACCATACGAACAAAGGCACTAGCTACAAATAAATACCACAGATAGAAAACAAAAACAATAAAAATATTTGATTCTTAGGTGAATTATACTTACAAACATAAATACTGGACTATTAAAACTAGATTACAAGAGGAATAGAGGGAGACGTCATACCATCACTAAACGTAAAGAGCTCTGGAAATTAATTTAAAAACAGAGTGTACTGATATTATTTCTCTTTCCCAAACACACACATACACACGCAGAGCTGTCATCTTGCTGGGGGCACCTCTCTTTTCCAGCCCTTCTTTCACACAAACATATTCACAGAGAATGTACAATGTGGAGCTCTCGCATTTGCTGCTGGTGGCCAATGGTCTCTGTTGCAAAGGAGGCAGAGAAACAGACAAAAGTTGTTTAATATAAACGTAAATTATGTTGTACATTTCTTGGATGAAAAAGTTCTTAAAGTGACAGCAATACATGCATTGTATTTCACCATCGCTCAGGTGAGTCCTTTGTGTCCACTGTGAGGATATGTCCACCCAGAAGTTGTGCGGTGTCTTCCGCCTCTTCTTCCTCTTCTATTGGCACTAACTTCTCCTCACTCTCTGGTGAAAAGCTGTCCGTGTCAGGGTCGTACTCGTAAGAATAGTAGGACACTTCAGCCATAGAACCTGGCTCCTCCCCTCCTATGAAATAAAAGCAGTCAATCCCGTTGCAGAACAATTTGCTGTCTTTGACAAAAGCATTGTTTGATTTGTTTCAGGGATATTCTTTTTTTCTGGAAATCAAGATTACAATTTTTTTTTAATCCTTTATTATGGCTGTGGTGTTCCTCAAGTGTATGTTTTTGGGCCGCTTTTCTTTTTCCTAAAAACATGTTTTTGCAGTTAAATTTATATTTTAACAGTTATTAATAAAAATAATATAATAAATAACTGCAGCTAGCAAATATCTATTGCCACTCAAAGATGACTGAGAAAAAGAAATGCATGCACAAAATGGCCAGTAGGGGGTGATCCTTGCATATACCGTGTGTGTATATATATATATATATATATATATATATATATATATATATATATATATATATATATATATATATAAAGCAGCAACTCAAGCTGATTCTATTACTGTCCTATACTGTATTTTAATAGATCAAGTGTTTAAATGTATCTCTAATGTTAGGAATTCATAGCTTGGGTATCTTAACTAATTTATCTTTCCACAGAGAATGTTTAAAAAAACAAAGTCAAATCCCTAAAAAAAAAAGAAAAAAAGAAGAAAAAAAAGTCAAATCCCAGTTTAGAGACTTTTGTCAACACAGCTGCTCAGCACCACTTAATCATCAAGGATAATAAATGTCTTCCTTGCGGTTTGGAATTACACCTGAAATTAAAGGCTACTCATTTCCATGTTTTCCTTTGAAAATAATATACAATTCATACACATACCTAAAACTAAGGTAACTGAAAAGTAAAATAAATGTAAATTATTTGACATGCATATCTGTTTTTTTTTTTCAAATCTTTTTGAGATTTTGTTAGGGTTAGACATATTCTCAGAGAATCATGTCTGTGCTTCAAAGAACATTTTCGATCTAAGACTAAGCTAAATCTGTGTCTAGAAAACGCTCTCACAGATTTCCAAAACACATATTTCTGCTACGCAGGTGATGTGGCTTGAAAATCTGAGTTTTCCCAAACATATTTACAAATGACAAATCCAAGAGTCACCTCAAGCATTAATAGACAAACAAACCTGGTAATTACCTCAAGAAAAAAACCCCACTAAATTCTTGCAAACATTTAAACAGGTGCATCCAGGTAAAGGAAACTTAAAATAAAAGCGGGCCAAAACCATAACCTTGAGGAACCCCAACAACCACAGCCCTATAGACACATTTTCTCAGCCCAAACACAACACAGGGCAAGTCTTAACAGCTCTACAAGAGACAGTCTAATCAGTCCTGGGAGTTTTCCAGAGGACACAGACACACATACCCACACACACACACACACACACACACACACACACACACACACACACACACACACACACACACACACACACACACACACACACACACACACACACACACACACACACACACACACACACACACACACACACACACACACACACACACACACACACACACACACACACACACACACACACACACACACACACACACACACACCTCATGAGCACTTCTAATTTGCCATAAGAACTAATTGTGCTACTTAAATGGTTGTAATGTTTTTCATCATCAAATTACGACCATTGAGGGTAATACACTACAAAAATAATGTACTTCTGTCCTGTTTTCCAATAAAAATAGATAAACAAGATACATTTTCTTGAGAAGCAATATTGTGAAGACTTAGTTTCAGAGAATATATCTTGAATTAATTGTTAATTCTATTCATAGTGCAATTTCATGTTACAATCTGTCCAATGAGGTTATTAAAGTGAAGAATATGAGGGATATAAATCCTGCTAAAGATACTGTAGTACAGTATTGATCTCCAACCTGGGAACACTTAAGCAGGTTCCAGGGGCTATTTGGAAATATTTAAGTTTTGAGTTCTGATGAATGATTTCAAATCAAACCAAGCTAGCTTTTGCTCGCAGTTAATGGTATTTGAAAAGGCCAAACCCTATACAGGAGGGTGCGAGTTGAGCGACAGGAGGCTGGGATGCGAATTATCCGAGCATTAATGTAGTCTGGGCCGATATTCAGGCCTGTGCACGCATAAGCTTCTTTGCATGTAGCTTCTGATTGTTGAACTCTTCAACACCTGCCCATGTGTGGCACACGCTCACACCTGCAGGGCGCTGACGCAGATGTGTTCAAAGAAAAGTAGGAAGAGGAGAGGATGATACCTGCAGGAATGAGTATAGGTTCCTGTTCTGGTTCTTCTCCTGTAGCATGTTCTCGCTCTACTACGGCCTCCCCCACTGGAAGATGACAATACATACGTAAACAAGTCATGTTCATTTATGTTCATTGCAATACTTTACATTAATTAGATACATTATTTGCTCAGTGTTCTGGTTTCCAGTTCCAGGTCTAGAATCATTTGTTTGCACTTGTGATGCCACTAGGCTTTATATTTTGATGTATGACATTGAGAAATTCTTTTCAACCAAACAGTCTTTGTTTTCAAGTAGATCCAAAATAATTAAATGTATGAAATAAAACACAAAAATAAGCTTTAAATTA